CATGGCCCATCTCGCATCTGAGGCACATTTATAAGTTGTACTTGAGGGTCATCACGAATCGACTCGAGCGACGACTTGACGAATTTTAACAACCCGAGAAGGTTGGGTTTCGAGGAGGCTATGGCACCATAAACCACATCCATACAGTAAGGCAAAGTACACAGAAGACGAATGAGTATAATAAGCCTCCGTGTCTGGCCTTTGTGGACTATGAGTAAGTCTTTGACTCCATCGAAAGTAGCGCTGTTGTGAATTCCTTACAGCGTTGCCGAATTGACTGTCGATAGACATCTTGAGACATTTAAACACTACAAGCTCGATGTCCATCCAAATACAGGTTGGTCTTACAAAACCTAAAACCTATCCAGTTGCATCGTGGAGTGAGACAGGGGGACACAATATCCCCGAAACTATTCACAAATGCACTGGAAGATGTTTTTAAGACGTTTAACTGGAATGGATGTGGCATCAATATAAACGGCGAACACATCTCACAAATTTCGCCGATAATATCGTCGTCATTGCAGAATCACTGCAGAACTACAAGACATCTTGAGCAGCCTAAATGAATCCTCTCAACTTGTCAGACTGCATATGAATTTAAATAGGACTTAAGTCATGTTTAACAATCATGTCATACCAATTCCGATTATTGTTGATGATGAAATTCTTGAAGCTGTTCAATAATATATCTACCTCGGGCAGATAATGCAGTTAGATAAAAACAACTTCAAGAAAGAAGCTGATAGGCGGATTTAGTTGAGCTAGGCAGCATTCGGTAAGCTTCATCCGGTTTTCTCGTCACCCATACCGCAAAACTTAAAAACTAAAGTCTTCGAGCAGATTTTCCTGCCAATACTCACAAATGGTGTCTAAACGTGTCTACGTTATGACTACTAACGGTAAGACTACTACACAAACTCAAAGTCGCCCAGCGGGCAATAGAAAGAGTTATGCTCGGGTAGTTTCTCTGGTAGATAAGATTCATAACGAAGAACCAAGGTTACCGACGTAGTCTTCGGTATTTGCAGGCTGAAGTGGCAATGGGCTGATCACATCTGTTGTAGAAGCGATAACCGTTGGAATAGGCGTTTCATAGTGTGGAGACCGCGTTTAGGTAAAAATAGTGTGGAAGGCTAGATGGAGCGAGGATGGTGAAGCCGCAGATCGGGGTAAGTAGCGCCTTAGGAGAGGCCTATGTCCAACAGTGGGCTGCCGCCAACAGTGGAATGTTATTTAATAATTTGGTTTTTTCTTATCTGTTCTATTACTTTATTCTATATTGCACGTTGCACCTATCCGTCAAAATATAAAATCACAATGTCCTTTTTTAATACAGTTGCTCAAAAAGTGGCTTATTGCAGGGTCGTATAGCGTTCGGGATGTGGGCTATTACATACTCGAACTTTTTCTTTACTTTTTCCGAACTAGTATGTTCTCTTTCCCAACTGTCAAAATAATGTATATTAAAAAGAAAAAACCAACCACGAAGTTTTTACTGAAAAAAATTCATAGAAGTTTTTATGATTCGTGCAAATATTTCTAAAAAGAAGCTACTAATTTGTTTCAATATCAGATTTAATAATTTGATTCAATGAGTTAACTCCTAAAAGTTAGGTTTCATTTCATTTCATCTCATTAAATTTCATTTTCATTTCATATCAATAAAAAAAATCTACTGAAGACTTGGCTGTATGGGCATAGTTCCCTTTGCCTAACCAGAATGGGTGAAGAAAACAAAAAAATTGGCTTATTTAATATGAAGATTTCTTTTACGGTTGGCGCCATTTTCCAAAAATGTTCTTTGCGAGTTTAGTTGTTTGTTGCACAAAATAAGTAATGGGTGCGTTCGGCAGAAAAAAGCGCTAGCAAGCGCTTGTAAGCAAAATGGCGATCGTAAGCGGTAAGCGCTGTCAAATCGTAAGTAGCTATTTTCCTCCAGGACACGATGTTAGTTTTAACCGGGGAATCTAACCTAATTTAAATATATGTTTGTAAAGTATTCATATTAAAACTTACCAATCATGAGTTTTTAATAGCATGTATATGTTTATTCATGTCATTATATTACTTAAAACTAATATTGCACAAAACAACTTATAAACTCTACTTCAAAACAAACAAATTAAATAAGCAAAATGGCGGATTGTGTCAGCGCTACTGAAGTAGCAATCGTGTCCTGGCCGAAAACTATTTTAGCGCTTATAAGCGCTTGCTAGCGCTTTTTTCTGCCAAACGCACCCAATTTCGACACTATTTTATTTGAATTAACACCACCGGAACTCAGTATAATTACACAAAATGCTTCGGAGAACATTTTACCGGAAAAGTCAAAAAGTCGCTACATATCTACATACAACGAATTATTGCTTGGAGAGAATAGAAAAAAGAAAATAGTTTTTCAGAAAATGTTATGTTGACATACTTCTCCAAACTCTCAGCAAAATTAAAACCTTCTACGTTATGGTCGAGGTTTTCGATGATAAAAAGTATGCTGAAAATAAGGAACAACGTGGATATAAATGAATGCCCAAGTTAGTTGAGTTTATTGTGTTTTTATTATTTTATTAAATTGCTTAATTTTTTCGCAACTGTATTAAAAATAGTTGTTCAGTACACGTGCGGAACCGTCGTTGCAACTTGTTCCGACTGTCAACCCTCACCTTCGGCTGCGCCTCGGCTCGGGTAGATATTTGTCGAAACTCTTTGCAATGACAGGCTTTCCGCACTCGTAATCAAATATACTATTTAGTTTCAGTTCGTCAGGTAGAAATTGCTTATAGTGATACGACCATGGTTTTTAATTCATACGTTTTCCGTTGTAACAACTTTGTTTAAATGCAATAAAAAGTTATCAATCTACCGTCCGTGGCTTTAATTTTAGGAAAACTAGTTTGTTTATATATATATATATATATATATATATATATATATATATATATATATATATATATATAAATAAAAATTGTGATAATAAACACTCGGATTACTTTTTATCACTTTCAGGATTAATGTAACAAAAAAAGCGACTATTCTTTACCGATGTTGTTATCTACAAGTTAATGTTTTTCTATTACGCAAACAATCAACAATCAACAACAATAACATCCCGCGAAATTTCACTGCTGGACACATTGAAGAAATTTGTAATACGTACTAAAAGAGACGCAACTTATATACTTGGTTGTCTGCAACACGTGTAAGAGCCCGCGGACTCAACCTTATTTAGTCTGTGCCATATTTAGTATGTGCCATATAGGTACTACATATGTCTTTTTCCTTCCACGCGCCACGCACTGTCACACATAATTTGTTCGCGGTGCCGAATCCTCTCTACTTTTAGGAAAGATTTGTTTTATTCGCAATGCTTGGCAGGCGGAACGGCGATCGTAGAACCAGACTAACGTATTTTACTTCTGACGTAAACTAAATGGTTATACCTCCATCTATCGGATGACATGAGATCTTTTTGCCAAAGTCGCCTCATACGATGCTTGCGTGGCTATCATATGAGGCGTGGCTATCGTACATTTATGGCCAAAAAGTTAGTCTGCCTAATCATTGAGGCTTTGTTTTCATAAATTACCAAAGAATCAATTTTCTTTATTTATTTTATAAAACTGAAACGACAAAGTAACTTAAAGCCCAACTGGTGGCTACTGCATTTCATGAACACATATATAACCAACTTAAAACAAAAAAGGCTATATATGTGTTGTTGGACTCTAAGTACTAAGATGGAATCCCTCACAGCCAGCAATGCACACACTGCTGCATGGCGCCAGAAATAGATGAGAGTGTGGGTATGACCTTGTATATTCCTAGCCACTAGAATGTCGGGGTCATTTTGGCCAATATGGCGCATCTGTCGAGCACCTTCTGAAGTACTATGTAAGTATATAACAAGTATACTAAGTATATAATATATATATATATATATATATATATATTATATGTATTATATGTATGTTATATATATCATATATATGTTGCAAATAGTTTGCTATCACTCGACGCCATATTATGGCGTTTGACAGATGGGCATATTATTTAAGACGCCAGAATATGGCGTTTGTACAGACGAGAGGCTAGTTGAACTTAATGAATTTTAAATTAAATTGAAAAATAATGATTGCTTCATTGAGGGGATATTTGCCATTGTTGCTACGTTTGGCGTACCTGATCCTTTTTACTGGAAACGAGGCATTCCATCTCAGTCCTCAGGGGTGACAACGCATCTGCATTTAGATTCTTTATTAAAGATAAATTTAGATATCTATGGGTCACAATATCCACTTACCTTCAGGTGTGTTGGCTCGTTTGTCATCCTTATTTTATAAAATAAACGGCAGTTTTTTTATTATTTCGAGTTATGGCCATTAATATGCGGCTGTCCATATCCCGTTTCATTTTCTTCTGTCGTCTTCTACGACACCCACGAGACGATATGGGATGGTAAATATTCTTACGCTGTTACTAAACGAACACTCATGAATTGTAAAGGAATTTTAAATACATAAATCGCACATGAACAAATATCCAAATTTTTAAGTTTTCTTTTAAAGTGCGTTATAAAACATCATTCAGTTACCGATGAGTCTGTTATTGTTACCATACGACTGCATCGTTGGTCTAGTGGTCTTAAACTTGGTTCCGATGATGAGGGCCCAGGTTGAAATCCCAGGCTTAAATCAGTAATTGGATTTTTTGTCAAGATAATCTCAATCCAAACCGAGTTAGGAAGTTAGCGGTGCTTTACCACAGTGCCTCGAAAATCACGTGAAGCCATTGGTCCTGCAACTGATCTCTCTACGGTCGAGGAGCAACAAACAACTACAATACAACGTGAGAATCGCAAATGTGTTGCCGGCCTTTATAAAATTTATTTCAATTCATTTCATTCACGCAGACCCGGAACACAGCGTGGCACCGGAGCTGTATGCGCATAATAAGGAATTCTTAACTGTGTGTAATATTAATACCAAACATTATTATTACAGATTCAATTCTATGATTCGGAAAACTTACTACCACAGCAAACGTTGCAGGATTTGGAAAAAACAGAAAGACAGGAGATTGAGGAGGAACCTGATATCTTGTACAGCTGCAATCAACTAAGCTACGGTATATGTATACCTTTATGAACGAAATTTGGAATAAATTGTCAACATTGTCATTATTTACATACTTAATTTTAACTCTCCTAATCTTTCCATAATCACCCCATAAAAAATGTACTGTTAAAAATATCTTCGGTCAATGGGACCTCATTTTATAAAGAAATAAATACATTGCATTCCTTTTCACATATTTACATTTCATTTAATTTTATTTGCTTAGTCCTCACGGGTGACAACGCATCTGCATTTTGATTCGTAATCGTGGATACATGTAGATGTCTAATCTATCGCTGGGCCACAGCACACACTTTTTTTATTGCATAAGGGCAAACGAGCATACGGTTCACTAGATGTTAAGTGACCACCGCCGCCCATGAACAACTGCAACACCATGCAAATTGCACGTGCGTTGCCGGCCTTTTAGAAGGGAGTAAGATTTTCTTGAAGGAGGTAAACTATTCTACGGAGAGGTCGTACGCGGGAGAAAACTCCTTGTGAAACGTACAGTACTGGACTGCCAAGCACCCAGATGGTGTGGATAGTATCGGGAGCTTTGTCGCGATGTACGTTCATAAAATTTGGCGGCTTGGATTAAGCCGAGGTACGGGTTCGCGTCAATGATGATCTCGACATGCTCGTGACGTATTACGTAATAACGTTACGAGCATGTCTACATTAGATTATATACACAAAGATACCCTCCCCCAAAGGGGAAATGTTTGCCATAGTTGCCACGCTTGGCAAGCGGTTTGGCAACCGCAGTTTTTATTTTATTTTAGTCTGATGTAGATTTACTACTACTACTACTTTTTATCTTACGACGCCTACGGAATGAAATGGAGTAGTGCGATATTCCTACACCGCCACTTCACGGTAACCTCTCCAATAGTAAAATTGTAAACTATAAAACACTTGAATAGAACAAAATAACACAAATTATATAAAACTTTCATTTAATATAGTTTGTGAATAATACTCATTAAATGTGATTATACCTACATACATCTAACTGAGGCTAGGATAACTTCAGCGCCTTTCTATACGTTGCCTCTTACGACGAAGAGTTAAGTCGTGGTGATGGTTATTCTAATATCATCACCACCTAGAGTATGCTATCGTTACTATATGAAAATGTGACATAAACCTTCCAGGGGGACCGTGCTGTTAAGTGCTCGAAACGTCTGAATATATCTGGATTGCGTATATAAAATAAGTTAATATACGCGACAAAATCCGTAAAAACTAGTTTTATTTAAATGTGTAATGTTCGCGTAAATATAAGAAATCATTATATAAACCTTCCAGGTTGGAATTCTAAGTAAAGAATGAAAGAAAACAACGTGTGTTCTTAACAAGAAGGTACCGCTGCTCTTCTCCTGTTTCAGTTTTTCTTCGCCTCTTATTACGTCCAAAAGTCGATATTGTATAGTAGGATATGTGGGTATTAAAATAAACGTTTAAAATAATTATAATTTCAAATTCAAAAAAATTCGAAAAAAATAACAATTATATCATTCAAACATTTTTGATTAATGGATTCAAATTCTTTGCAATATCCTTAAAAGCCAGATTCCAGTAAACTTTTAAAAGTTTTTTAAACCTATTTTCGGCTGCTAGATTAAGGACTTCACTTATAATTAATAGAATCAGGCGTTAATTTGCGGAAATTCATTATATTACATTTTCTTAAAACTAATTAACATCTTCATCATCTTTAAATAAAGTTATTATATTTAACTAACAGGAATCAATAAAAATTTGTATCTAATAACAATAATGTCCTCCAGATATGATTTCGGTTACTGCGAACAGTCACAAGATTCCATCCAGCCACCTGCACAGAACAAGATTATAAGGCGCGAGTGTATACGAGAACACAAGTGCACTCTTTATTCCATCACTCTAAACTTACTTACCCTAAACTGGTGAGACGGAAATCCGACACGGCCAGAAAGAGATCATACGCAGAACCAACGGTTTTACACGCTTTATTTTTTGCTTTCCGAGGCACGGGAGTGAAACATTGCCAACTTGTTTGACTCTGGGCTGCAGCTGAGAATTATTCGTCGTAGAAACTCAATAACACATTTTTGATCAAACCCGGGATTTGAACTCGGTACCTCATGATCAACAACTGCCTTTACTATCACTGTACCAACGAGGCAGCCAATTATCATCCATTAAGAAGACCAGACGGCATACCTCTTCACAAGTATTCAGTCTCTGACTGTTGTCACTCTTTACTTGATATTCCTTCTTGCAGTACCTCCACCACGTATTAAAACTATTCATATTATAAAATAATCTATATTTGGTATATCTATAGCCGTAGTAGCACAGATGGTTAGCACTCGCTGTAAATTTCACAATACGCAAGCTAACCAGGTTCGATCCCCGCCGGCACCAATGAAATTGTTAATTGCAATTTTAAGTGCTGATTTACCACGTGCTCGGCGGTGAAGGAAAACATCGTGAGGAAACCTGCATGTCTGAGAAATAAGAAAAAAATATTTCGAAGACGTGTGAAGTTCGCCAACACGCATTGGAGCGGCGCGGCGGACACTTCCTTGCCCTAAAACCCTCTCAGAAATGAGAGGAGGCCTGTGCCCAGCTGTGGGACGTTTATAGGCTGTAACTTTACTTTACTTTTATATCTATATCATTAAATATAGAATCCACGTGGAATCAATTTTTTTTTTTGGATTACTTAGGTGATGCAGTGTTCGCGACATTTGTTGTAGCACCGCTGGTCGTAGGCGTTTGGCGAAGCACTTGGAGTATCATGGATCTACACTCGAAGCTTTTCCCTTACGCCCAAATCTACCTCTTGGGAATCATAATTCACATTTGTTTCGCATTGATCAGGTTTGTAAAACTTGTAAGTTGTATTTTTTTATACATAAAATATATACATAAGACATATAACATAAAGCAACAAAGAAGTTAAGTACAGTTCACCAATGGTCAGTGTTCATCGAAGTCCGTGGACGAATGCAGTCAACATCAAATAAATAAGACTACAGATGTCACCTTCGGGGGCTAACATAGAACGCCACACAATTTGTCTCTATGTACCCAGTAGTGCTGTAAAGACTAGAACACTGAAGTGCAAGCTATTTGGCGTATCTAACAAGTGGTATCTACCAAGACGAACTCCTTAGCGGAAACGGAATTCTAATATATAGTAAAGTTAAAAAATCAAAGTTATTTAAAGCAACATAAAAACAACTTAATAAAACACTCTCATAGTGGCTAAGCGTTTGGCAGCGGTGCCGCGGGTTTTACTAGTTTTCATAATTAAACAGCATTTGTCTAAAATCAGCACATTATTTAACAATTTAGATTTTAACGGCAATAAAACTAAGTGAACTAGTGTATAAGAATTATAACATCTAATGTTAAGGGGATATAGTAAGTCAGCTCAAATTCTAATTTCGCCCCCACTTCCCTGCGCTTCGTATGCTATGTACCGACATGTTTGTAATCACTAATACTGTAAGTAGATAGATCGTTGGATACTTATTTCATTAGGTTTATCATATTTATGTCTGTTTCTTAACGCCAACCCAGTGGCTTCTCATTTTTATCACGGTTATTTCCCATTTTAATTTTACGTCGTCCTGTTGCGTAAGTGACCAACATAGCCCAACGGATTAATAAGCTGACGTGGCAATGGGCCAGCCATATAGCTCGAAGAACCAATAACCGATGGGGAAGAAAGGTTCTCGAGTGGCAGTCTCGTACCGGTAGGCGTAGTGCAGGGCGACCCCCACTAGATGGAGCGACGACCTGGTAAGATATGCAGGAAGTCGATGGATGCAGGTGGCTCAGGACCGTGCTTTGTGGCATTACTTGGGGGAGGCCTATGTTCAGCAGTGGACTTGTGAAGGGCTGTAATGATGATGCTGATGATGATGTTGCGTAATGTGTATTCTGATCGTAAGCGACACAACCTTCCCCTTTAAAGGCCGGAGCGAAACTGACCGGGCGGCAGGAATCATGTTTCATTACGTCGATAGTTTAGGTAATTTTTTTTTACAGTGAAAATAATGGTATTTAAAAAAAATTAAATAACATAAGCACTGCTTTATAATTAGTTCAGTTAGTATGCAAAGTTTCATGATCTAATTTAAAATATTTTACGAATAACAGCGGTTTATTGTTTATTTTGGAGGTAAATTTGGATTTTTTTTGTATCGAGAAAATTTTACGGAATCGTGTTTTCGTCTAACATAGTCCTGAACATTAATCCTCAACTTTACCATGTATTTATTTCAAAATTAATGCTGCAATATTTTCGGTATAACGGAGGATCTTGCTAAGGCATTTGAGGTTATATTTCCCCTTAAGCATTCAAAGACAACTGTCAATTATCTATCACTTACCATCAGATGAGCCGTATGTTCGTTTGCTCCCTCTCCTTTAAAAAAAAGAAGAATTTCACTCTTCTCACTTGTATTTTCTACTGTTATATATTATAATATAATATAATATATAACAGTAGAAACGACAAGGTATATTCTTACATTCGTATATTCTTGGTATAGATACCTACCTACTTTTGACGCGAAACTTTTAACCCCATTTAAATAACCTAACAAACAGACTAAGTAAGCTCTAGAAAATATGATGCAAAAAGATTAGAAGTCTACTAGACACTTAGACAGATAGATTGATTTATTTCAGTTAGTTCCACAGCATAATGTCTTATGGAATTTTTCCATAATGGAAATGTGAATAAATTATAAACTGTTTTTGTTTTGTTGAAAAGGACCATAAGAACTATTTACATATATATCCTAATATCTTTATTTATTATATTTTTATTTATTATATTTTTATCTTTATGTTATTAAGAATTATGTAATTGATAATTAAGATAATAATTTATGTAATTTCTAAACATACCAATTATAATTGAAATTTTTATGTTTTTAAATATTAATATTCATAATGCCAGGTGATAATGATAACCAAATATTTGTATGCCTTTTGGGGCGAAGCATAGTGTTACTTATCATGCCTTTTCCAACAAGTTTGGAACTTTTTACCTATGATTTACAAATAAATAAATTTTATATTGATTTTATTCAGAAAAACAAAGTAATGAATTACGAACTTTGGCCTCTCAGAATATTTAGTTTTAATAAAAAAGTAATAAACATTCCGTAAACACTAGGAATAAACTAGCTAGTAATACCAGTTACTCGATTCCACAAAGTAATCAATTCCTTTATGGCGTGATGTATACGCTTTTCTACAACACAGTCCCAGAAAATATAGGACGTCTCTCTTATATTACATTGTCACTATCATCCTAAGTCCATAACACAGACCTCCTAAACAAAGACCTCTTCAATATATAACGCTCCAAAACCACCTGCATTCACTCCTTCTATTGGGGAGTCGCTCAAAACTATGACACTATTAGTGTACAAAATATTTATTTTTATTAGTTAAGTAAATTTACAACATTAATCGAATAACGGAAATATTTTTTCAGGTCCCATCTCCTATCCCGATCAATAGCAACTTCTGATGAAAATAGATACTTCCATTGGTTAAGAGAGCGGCTGCTATCTAGGATCTACACCTACATATTTATTTTATCCTGCATCATGCACTGGCGTGGTGGCTGGGGACTTTTTGATGGCACCGTCGCCGCCGTAGTGCCTTCCGACGCCGACCCACACAGGTAGAATAGATTTGGTAATCAATAAAATAAAATGAATACCGATACAATTCATTTAAAGTCTTTATAAATAAACCTAAAAAATGTGGAGTCTTATTCTCTCTTACTCGTTTAGTAGAAAGAAAGAATAGACGGAAATCTAATTTGTAAAGAATTTAATATATTTTTTACAAAAATTGGATCCATCTTAGCTAGCAAGATACCACAAACTTGTTCGGATGAGAATAATTTCGTTAAGTTTAAAGTTTCGTTCTAATTTGCTAAATACTAATACATTTAAAACTTCAAACATGATAATTAAACCCAAAACAAAAAAATTGTAGTTATTCTTCTCTTACCATTGACAATTCTACAATATACGAGTCAGTGAAAGAGAAATATTTAGGCACTAAGCCTAGAGAAAACCTTGTCATGGAAGACAGATAAGCAAAATAGGCAAAATAAGATCGAAACTATCTTCCCTACTGGGTTCACTTTACGGTTGTATTAGATGCCTCCCTTATCATGTTCGCCGTACCATAATTACATACTTAACCACATCTGGATTATCCAGTTGAAATTTGAAATAGCAGCTATAAAACAACATTAAAGAACCTACAAATAAATAAAAATAAAATATTAAAACTGTTAATTAATTATAACTACTTAACACCTCCAGCCTCACAAACAAACTGTACAGAGAAATTAAAATTCTGAACATTTATCAAACATATTCTTACAAGGCGTGTATTCTAATATTATAGTGAATTTTTGATAAATAGAAATGGTTAATAGAAAATTGTTTCTATGTCCTAAAAGAATATTTAGAATGGAAAAATTAGCTTAGAAATTTATGTGCTTCACTTATAGAAAATTTTTATTTTATGTACCTAAATATTTGCACGTCTGCGAGCAGACTAAACACATGTACATTATAGATTTTTAAATAAGGACCCTGTCAACTGTGTTTTATGCAAATAAAGAATTTGTATTTGGCTTAGCACGCACTGCGATTAAACGTCCGCGTTTAACCGCACATCTGAAACCGCAAACAAAAACGTAACAAATAGCTTTCTATACAAGCGCACGCATTAGCGACTTTATTCAGTGACTGATTTTAAAAACGTAGCTTGCTACATTTCGATCGCGGTTTGTAAAAGCTAGATTTTTATTTGTCCCATAGTAATAGTATGGCGGCGCATACACAGCGGTTAACCGCGTTCGGTTTTTATTCAACTCTTCAGGTGATATCGTCATACGAAATACAGTGTCTTCATGTTGTATATACTGGCCCACAGCCTGTAATAATTTATCAAAAGTAACCAATCGACATTTTGTGGTAATTAAAAAACTTGTCGGGATGTTGTCGCACGTCGTTGTACATTTTGCAAAAGTATCCCTTCAGATGTCTTTGATCTGTTAGTGAATGTACCCAGTACTTATGGAAGCGCCGTTGTTTGCGTTTTCTATTTTTTAATTTAAAGCCAAAGCGACTACACATGCTACTTGCTCGAAATTCATGGTGGTACTGAAATAAAATTAAGCCAAACTCCAGTGATCATATGCGGTTTTGCGTTTTCAGCTATTCCTAAACCGCTCGCGTTTAATCGCAATGTGTGCTAAGCCTTTGTATTGTATTTGTATTTGACAGTTAACATCTTTAAAAGGAAACTAAAACAATATAATAAATAAATTCTAACTGACCCTGTCCATATACTGACTTCTAATCAGCGTTAATCGGTAAAGATAAGAAATACTTGTTTACTATCTGCTTTATTTACTTATACTTATAGGATATAAGAACAAAAGATTTGTAACTTGTTCATGAATACACACAAAATTGTAAGAAGTCTTAAGTTGTATGTACGAACTAGTAAAAAGTTGAATGTCACCAAATTCTTTCCTTCCTTTTTGATGTATTTTTTTTGTAAGCTGTATGCTCATATCCTATTATTAATTTGAATATTGTAACTTCTCAATTAATTAAACGTATAATTGTTTTTCTTTCTCCAATCAGAAATAGATACCGAATATCCACTATTCGATATCGTCCCGTAGGTTGCCCAGCCACAGCAGCGTTGTCCTGATAACTACTAAAAGTTATAAAAAATCTATCGTTGCCAGCGTTGACAAGCGTGGCAGCTTCGACAACAACCCTAAGAGGCAATCTATGGTGGAGGCCTACGTTCAGCAGTAGACTTTTATATATGTAATGAATGGTAGTAGGAACCCGAGTAGACCAGTCCCCATAAGTTCTGTTAAGGTGATTGCAACAAAGAATAAATAAAATACATTTTAGTCCTCAAGGATGACAACGCTCTATGATTCATAATAGACAGTAGATATAGGTGTCTATGAGTCACATCATCCCTTACTTCTATAAAAATACTAGCTTGCCAAGAAAAACGTTGTTCCGCCCTTGTTCGACGACCCTTTGTCATGTCCTATTAAAAATCCTTAAATTAGCAAAAAAAATTGTGGGTCACTCATGGGCAAAAAAAAAACTATCCTATCTCTCAAGTTGGACCAAACTGCACACGGTGTGCAAATTTGATTAAAATCGGTTCAGTAGTTTAGGAGTACATTGCAGACAAACAACGTGACACGTAATTTATATATATTAAGATAACAAAATGACCAAACATCCAGGCTTTTAAAAGCAAATTATAGAAAATGACTTCTTCTCGTAATTAAACTACCACCCACATCCTCAATTAATTATACCTGACGCCTTTGTGATATGGTTAATTGAGGTCGTGGGTCCGATATTTATAAAACGATGATAAAATGTATACTTGCAAAAGAACTTACAAAACTTACCTTCATCATCATCATCATTACAGCCCTTCACAAGTCCACTGCTGAACATAGGCCTCCCCCAAGTAATGCCACAAAGCACGGTCCTGAGCCACCTGCATCCATCGACTTCCTGCATATCTTACCAGGTCGTCACTCCATCTAGTGGGGGGTCGCCCTACACTACGCCTACCGGTACGAGGCTGCCACTCGAGAACCTTTCTTCCCCATCGGTTATCGGTTCTTCGAGCTATATGGCCGGCCCATTGCCACTTCAGCTTACTAATCCGTTTCGCTATGTCGGTCACTCTGGTGTTACTACGGATATCCTCATTTCTGAGTCTATCACGCAGAGAAACTCCGAGCATAGCCCTCTCCATAGCTCGCTGAGCGACCTTGAGCGTACTCATATGGCCAGCAGTGAAGAACTATGTCTCAGATCCTTAAGTCATCACTGGCAACACGCACTGGTTGTACAATCTAGTTTTTAGAGATTGAGGTATACCTGACGAGAAGATATGTCGTAATTTCCCGAACACTGCCCAGCCGAGTCGAATCCGTCGATTGACCTCTCGGTCGAAGTTGGACTTACCTAGTCGGAATATATGTCCCAGGTAAACGTACTCGACAACAACTTCGAGCATAGTGCTCCCAACAACTACCGGCATAGGTGTGACATGGACATTAAACATAATCTTTGTTTTGTCCATGTTCATCTATCCGTTGGGAGGCACTATTGAGGTCATTGAGCAAAGTGCTTAAGTCCTCCAGCGATTCTGCCATAAGGACTATATCTTCGGCAAATCGAAGGTGATTGATGTACTCGCCATTGATGTTAATACCGTATCCTTTCCAGTACAGTAGCTTGAAAACGTCTTCCAATGCAGCGGTGAAGAGTTTCGGAGATATAACGTCACCCTGTCTTACACCTCTCTGCAGTTGGATAGGTTTCGAGCTCTGGTTCTGTACTCGGATAGCCATCATAGCCCTACTGTATAAACACTTCAGTACTTCGATATACCGACAGTCAACTTGGCACCGCTGAAGGGACTGTAGCACCGCCCAAATTTCGACGGAATCAAAGGCTTTCTCATAGTCCACATACGCCAGGCAAAGTGGCAGATTGTACTCTTCAGTCTTCTTTACAATATGGCGCAGGGTATGTATGTGGTTTATGGTACTGAAGTCTTTTCGGAAACCGGCTTGTTCGGGAGGCTGGAAGTCGTCGAGTCTGCGTGCGAGACGATTCGTAATGACTCCCGAAAACAGCACGTAGACGCGGCTCAGAAGGGAAATCGGTCTGTAGTTCTTCAAGAGAGCGTTGTCGCCTTTCTTAAAGAACAAGACCACCGCACTTCTGCTCCACGCCTCTGGAGTAGTGCCACCATGGAGGACGGAATTGAAGAGCTTCTGAAGGACTTCAAGTACCGGTGTTCCACCCGCTTTCAGAAGCTCCGCTGTAATTCCATCCTCGTATGGGGCCCTATCGTTTTTAAGGTGCTGGAGAGCCATTCTAATCTCGCTTAGACTGACGTCCGGGATATCATCGGAATAGTGTCGGATAAGACTTGCTCTTGTATCGTTACTCACACTTGCATGTGGCTCCAACGATGATGTGTACAGCTGCCCATAGAACCTCTCAATCTCACTCAAAATCTCAGGTGTCCCGGAAACGATGCTTCCACACTCAATCTTCAGCTTTGACAGTTGGCTCTTACTGGCTGACAGATCTCTGGCAAAGACTTTGGAGCCCTGGTTCCGCTCGATTGCTTCTTTAATACGAGCAGTATTAAAGTTGCGTAAGTCTCGCCGCATGCATTTGGAGATCTGTCTGTTCAGTTGCCTGTATGCTGTCAAATCTGTTGACGATTGCAGCCTCATCTCCCGTCTAACAGCCATGAGATTAAGAGTGTGATCGGAGAGTTTTTGTGTTCTTCTGCGGCGGGTCTTGCAGAACTTAGCTCCGACCGCATGGACAGTTTCCACGAGCTTGTCATTCATATCGTCCACTGCATTGCAGTCTTCTGGGTACTGAAAGCGGTTACGTAACTCGAGCTGAAAGTTTTCGGGATTCTGGATTAGAGCACGAGGGGGACGGAGCGTTGACTTCATTAGACGAGACCTCTCGAACTTAACGTTTAGGTTCAGTGTGCCTCTAACCATTCGGTGATCGCTGCCAGTTTTCACCCTTGCGATCACTGAGACATCACTGAACAGTTGGCGTCTGGTCGTCATAATGAAGTCAATCTCATTTTTTGTAGAACCGTCGGGGCCGTACCAGGTCCACTTCCTGTGGAGCCGCTTCTGGAAGAAAGAGTTCATCATAAAGAGTCCCTCTTTCTCCATAAAGTCGGCCAGCTGCTGGCCCCTTCGGTTCCGTTGCCCTACTCTAAATTTCCCTAGCTTCAGCTTACCGTTTTCTCTTATGCTTAGTTTTGCGTTGAAGTCTCCCATCAACACCGTGTAGTGGGTTTTGGAGGAATGCATGGCTTTGGAAATATCCTCATACATTTCCTCCACCTCCTCATCGGGATGTGCCGAGGTTGGTGCGTAAACCTGTATGACCTTCAGCGAATACCGTTTGGTGATTCTGAGTATCAGGTACGCGACCCTCGTCGACACACTCCCAATCTTTACAACGTTGTTGACGAGAGACTTGTGGACGATAAATCCGACACATCCTTGAGACAGATGGTCGCCCTCCTGGTGATAGAACAAGTTGCCGGATTCGAGAATCACCGTGTCCTCCCCCTGTCTTCGGACCTCGGATAATCCTATAATATTCCATCGCAACTTGTCTATCTCTTCTTCCAGCTCCAGGATCTTCTCGTCAGTCCTAAGGGTGCGTGCGTTAAATGTTGCCAGGTCGAGTCGTCGTAGGTGGCAACCGAACCTCCACCGGAGATTCTTAGCACCCCCTGCCCCGCCGTTACCATGGTCGCCACCGTAGCCAGGAATAGCGGGGCCGCCGGGGACTGGGGGCCGTCTATTTGTGTAATTGTTCATGGGGGTATATTGCCATAGTTGCCACGCTTGGCGAGCGGGTTGGCAACCGCAGATTTTTTTTTGTCGTACAGTTGCTGTTATCAGGAAGATGCTGCTGCCCATCTCCTGCCTGTTTCCCTCTGTCGCCTTTTACGACACCCACGGGAAGATATGGGGTAGTGGATATTCTTAACCGCCACTACACGGCACAAAACTTACCTTGCAATTTATTGATTACTAAAATTGATCTAATTAGCAGTATTCATTTTCTATAATTTGCTCGTTGAGGCATGGATGTCTTGATCATTCTGATCATTTTATAAAAGTAAGACATGATGTGTAGTATCATAAAACGTTGTCACCCTTGAGAAGAAAGATGGTTTACATTAATTTATTTATTCTTTATTACAATCACCTTATCAGAGCGTTGCAGTACTTTTCAAACTGTTCTGAACTTCTGTGAATCTACTGAAATGTAATTATTTCTCAAAACGAAAATCATTTCATAAAAGTTGAACAAACGAATAATAATTTTGTGAAGACAGATACGAGGAATGTTAAAATGAGGGCTTTCACAACTTTTTCTGGTGAGTGAAATATTTCACTGATTTCATTTTGTGCGGAGGAAGTTAATTTGTTATATATCTTATAAAAATAATATATATATATATATATATATATATATATATATATATATATATATATATATATATATATATATATATTTATAAGATAAGAAATGAATAAGCCAAACTATGCATATTCCATTTATTATTTAAAATTAGAAGCATTAAAAAATACGGTTGACCCATTTCTGGAACTTCCCTTTAGTTTCAAATACAAAGCGCCCCAAAATTCAAAACGACATAATTTTGAAAAACCACGTTTTTTATTTTTATAAATTGAATACTTGAAGAACAAATCAACCGATTTTGACGAATTTGATGGCGTTCCACTCAGTTTTAAGCACTCTCATAGTTTATTTATTTAATCGAAAACGATTCAAGAATATAATTTCAAAGTTGTTTGAAAAAACACTTTTTCTCGAAATTTCTCGTTAACGTTTTCTCTTTAACGCATTAACCAATTTTGATGCTGTTTGCATCAATTAACGGCGTTTTTGAGTTTAAGAGTTGATTACATTTTGGAATTGATCGTTAAGTCTGTTTAAACGTTAAGGCTATTGTGGAAGCGGATCGAACATCCGATGCGTTTTCGATTTGCTCATTGGACCGAAGATCGCATGATTGAAGATGAGCAGTTTTACCGAAAAAACATCTTTTTAGATGAAACTTATTTCCACCTTGGAGAATACGTCAATAAGCAAAATTGTCGTATCTAGACAATTGCATCCACAACGAGTGACTGTCTGGTGCGGATTTTGGTCTGGCGGTATTATTGGGCCATTATTCTTCAAAAATGAGTAAGGAAGCGCCGTTACAGTGCATGGCGATCGTTACTGCGAGTTTTTGTTTCCCAATATTAAAAAGTATGACATAGACGACATTTGGTTTCAACAGGCTGGCGCAACGTACCACCAGCCAACGTAACAATCAATCTTTTGCGCACAGTTTTCGAAAATCTCATAATCAGTTGAAATACTGATGTCGATTGGCCACCTCGAAGCTGTGATTTGACTCCGTTGGACTTTTTTTGTGGGGAGGTCGTTAAGGACAAGTGCTACACTAACCATCTAGAGACCATTGACGACTTGAAACATGAAATCGAAGTTGCCATTGACGAAATAGAGGCCAAAACAATCGAAAATGTACTGAAAAATTGGACTGATGGAATGGGGTGGGAATTGTAAGGCTAGCCGTGTCGTGGCAGTCACTTGAATGATGTTGTCTTCCATTTCTAAATGGAAAGGTTCAATTTTTCCAATAAGCGACAGTAGCCTAATGGCAGGGCGCGGACCGCGAACTCAAAAAGGTCGTGGGTTCGAATCCGCCATTCGACTACTGGCGTGAACCACTCGTAACACAAGCAATTTAAGCTTACCACGAGTGGTTAAGGGGAATATTAGTAATGTTTATAGCATTGTTAATATTCTTTTTTTTTAAATTTTTTCCAATAAACTCATAAATTTGAATATTCATTAGTTATTTTTTTAGAGTCGATTCGAAATCCAAATTTTAAATGGCCCAACCGTTATTTATTACTGTCGCTGTGAAATATATTATATAAAATATAATTATGTATAACATGAAAATGTAGTAAAAGTCGTATTTGGGTCTCGTTACTCAACATACGAAACATCAAGCAAAATAGTTATTGGCGCGATCGTGGTGCTTTCTCGACTTATTTGTGTACACTATAATACGCTGCACGTGACCCGAATTGAGTAATTTTTTTTTACATTTATTACATAAGATATCACCACGTACCCTACGGTGAAGAAAAACATCGTGGGAAAAAAAACTGCAGGTCTCATAAATAAATTATGCCAACGATAAGTAAAGTCCGCCAACACATATACGAGCAGCGCAGCGGGTGAATTGCTCCATAACCCTCTCAGAAATAAGAGTAGGCCTGTGGCATATTTTTTTTACTATTCTAAACCATCGTTTAGCTACAATCTCACCTGATGGTAAGTGATGATGTAGCCGAAGAAGCCGCACTGAATTAGCAAAAAACTTATAAGAAATAACTTGAAGACACCCACCACATTGTAATCGGATGGAAAAACGGATGCTGGCAACTTATTCCACTCCTCTGCTGTACGCATGACGAACGATGTAGCAAACCGTTTGGTTAGAATGCGTGGTAAGTCGACAACAAAAGGGTTGAGACAGGCCGAGCGTCTGGTAGTCCGATTGAATAAATTTATGCTATTTCTGCGCACATGCTCCTTGATGCATTTACCAGTAATTTTTTTAATTTTTTTTAAATTAAATTCCTTAATTAAAAGGATTATAACGGGCGGACTCGGATTGACTGGGAGGGAATGCCTTTTGGCATTCCCTCCCAGTCAATCCGAGACGTGTGGTAATAAAGTGATAGATGCCAAAAATAAAAGTACATAATTGTAAATGACGAAAAATTGATAAACTATAACGTTATATTTGATGATGATATTTCTCGTTTCGCCCAGGCCAGTACTAATAGCGGCCCTGACAGTACTATGCTATGCAAGCATCGCCAGTCTTCGATCTGCGAGAAATCTCCTCGCGTCTCCTTATTTCCTGGTAACTGACGGGAAGGAACCTACATATATATTCACTACAAGGTTCCGTAATGTTGGACAAGTAAGTATTCTTTTATCTTGGTTCATTGACCGACTCTGACACCACAACGTTTGCTATTTCCATGTTAGAGTGCTGACATCATAAGATTCATCATTGTATCTCATCCCAAGAGTTGCAGAGATAAGTAGGCTGTTACGCCGACAGTTATACGTGGTAGGGCCATGCTACAGTTATATTAGAAGTATAGTTGTAGCACGAATGGGTCGGCACGACCGGGGAAGGACCACGCTCTCACAGAATACCAGCGTCAGATAGCAGAATAATGCTGTTGTGTTTCTTATGGTGAGTGTAGAGAACCGGAGACCCTTTTTACTGGAAACGACGCATTCCATCTTAGTCATCACGGGTGACAACCCATTTGAATTTTAATTCGTAATCGAGGACAGATGTACATGTCTATGGGCCATAACAACGACTGACCATCGGGTGGACTGTGTGCTCGTTCGTCACCGTATTCTATAAAAAAAAAATCTCTAATTATGTTAACTTTGCCTGACATCTTGCTGTGTGACGAACGAAGCTCTGTAGATCAAGTTATGGCGCAAAACCGTTAAATTTGCAGTTTCCTGTGACTGAATTTGTACTCAGAATACGGTTTGACTTTTTCCCCTGGGCGGCTTTCTCCCCTGAGTTTAACTACTACAACAAACGTCGCTAAAAATTATAAAGGATCCACATTTCATCACATGTTCTGTAATCAGAGTGCCGATTCAAGTAATTTCCCACTGTATCCACTATCCAAGCTACCTTTTAAACTGGTGACGAAGCATTCAATGTTAGTACTCTAGTGGTAATATAAATGAATTTTGTTTATTAATCGAGGATAGGATTTAAGTGAGGTGAAGTGGACATCGAACTCGTTGGATACCTCTACTTGTGTAGAATGCGATACTTGGTCCGTACTCCTTGTTGATATTCTGTGTAGCATTTCAAATATTAATTCCACAAGAGAACTCAAAGTTGAAGTAGTTTTTATTTTTAAATACTCGCGCTATCTTAGAAACATCAAAAAGCAGGAAAAATTATATCTAGACTTGCAACGGATATTGGGCTATTATTCAGCTACCTTTTTCATATTCGGTGAAATACTGTATATCTAGGTACTATTCAGCCGAATACCGAATACTTATAAAATATTTTGTCGTAGTTAGATAATTGGTAAAATATAAATGTTGATTTAATATTTTAATTATGTATTTTTACAGTACTTAAATTATTCATAGATACCTTACGACTTCCGTATTATAAAAGTAACAAAAAGCTATCAAATAAATATTTATGCATTTGAATTATCGTAATTCAAATTTAGAAAAGCAGGAAGACTAATTTTTATGTATTTTCAAGCAGTAGTTTACTCATTTTCTTCTCATAGAAAATCACAACTTCATATTAAAGACGATCTAAATAAACTCTTACTGCGTTCCCAGCCGAATGATTTTCCTATTTGGCTATTCGGCCAGGGAGCCCTAAGAACATTTGATATTCGACGTGTTATTTGTTTCAAATTGAATTAGAAAGATAGATAAATAACTCTTTATTGCATTTGAACAAAGTTATTACAATAACGGAAAACTTGCCTGACAAACCGAACATAAAAGGACATTATTATTTTATATTTTGACGGATAGGTGCAACGTGCAATATGAAATAAACAGAAAAAAATTATTAAAAATAATATTTATAAAAATATATTAATAATATATTCAATATTTACTTACTTACTTATCTTCACGCACAATCCCTAACGGGGTAGCCAGAGAGAACAGATCGCCAAGTGTCACGATCCTTACATACCTCTTTCGCTTCTTTTAGGTTCGTTAACTTCTTCATACATGCACGTCTAAGTATCCGAGTACTCTTGACCTTCCCTCTTCGAGCAATTTGCTCACATGGTCTTCGAAAGTTAGTCTCGGTCTACCTCGACACCTTTTAATATTTACTTTCGCTCTATATATTTTCTTCATCATTCGCTCAACTTGCCCAAACCATTGGAGTACGCCCCTATCAATTTTTGTGATAAGGTCATCTTTCAAACCTGCCATATTGGGAATCTCTTCGTTTCGCTTTCGATTGGCTATGGTAACGCCACACATTTTACAAAGAGATCGCATTTCCACTGCATTCAACTTGCTTTTATGCTTCTTCTGGCATACCTAGGTTTCGCTGCCATATAACAAAGTCGGTAGCAACACTACGTTATATATTGCAAGGCGTGCACTCTTCACCACGCCTTGCCTTTTGACTAATGCATTCAGGGCACTATTGACTTTGTTTCCGGCAGCGACACGCCTATCCACATCTAAATCACATCATGTGAAAGCACTCAAGTATACAATTTCATTTACCTGTTCTAGACATTCCTGATTTACCCATATTTCACATTTCGTTCTCTCTTCGTCCTTTTCAAATACCAGAACCTTAGTTTTATTATTAGCATTCAAACGGAGACCTTTAATTTCACACTCCACTTTCATACACGTGACTAATGCCTGCGGTTCTGCTACTGATGGTGCAATAAGCACTGCATCATCAACATACAGCAGACAATTTACTTTAATGTCACCCAATTTCACACCCAAACACCTATTTTTCAGCTTCTGTAAACAGCTGTCGAGATACAGTATGAACAGCCAGGAAGACATGACACAACCCTGTTTTACGCCCGCTTGGACGCTAAACATGGGTGACAGGTCATGCCCTACCCGCACACAGGCTTTACAGTCATAGTAAAGTGACTGCACAGCCCTTAACAATCGCCCATTTACACCATATACCGGCAACAGTTTCCACATTTTCTTTCTTATAACCTTATCAAATGCTTTCTCCAGATCCACAAAAGCACAGAAAATCCTCTGGTTAACACTCAGAAGCTTTTCCGTGATCATGCGGAGAGAAAACATTTGATCCGTGCATCCTCTTCCAGGTCTAAATCCGCATTGTGCCTCCCATAAGAATCTTTCCGATTTCTCTTGCATCCTACGTGTCAAAACCTTCGAGTAAACTTTACTTGCTAAACTGGTCAAGCTGATCGCCCGATAGCACCCGCAGTCAAAATGTGAACCTTTACCTTTATATAAAGGCACAATGACCGCGGATCGCCAATCATCCGGGACATCTCCCGTCCGCCAGCACAAATTGCACAGCAGACGAAAGCTGTCCCAGACGCGAGGCCCACCGTACTTGACCATTTCAGCAGTAACTCTGTCTAGTCCCGCAGCCTTACCACACTTCAAACTTCGAATCGTACGTTCAATCTCTTTCATGCTGATGACCTCAGTGTCATCGAGGTCCGTGTCTGGCGTTCCAGTCATGGTGTCACCCCCGGATCCTTCACTAAGATCATGACACGCATACATTTCTCTATAAAATTCACTCTATCGCTGCATGACGTCCGATTTTTTTGAGAGGACGTCATTGGTTCTCGAAAGCACTTTGTTCATTCTTAAGGCTGTCGCACCACTCCGGGACCTTCCAGCCTCTTTCCAGAAGAGTTTGGAGTTTTCCTTAAAGTTGTGCGACAACCTCTCGTCCGCTTCTATTCTACATTTTTCACGTACTTCCTCAATCAATGTTTTCGCATGAACTTTCTGCAGCTTATATCTTTCTTTCATCTTCTCTCTCATATGCTTATCGTTACTAGAGGCCAAGTAGTCTAACCATGCTTTTTTCTTCTTTTTTACAGCTTCTCTCACTTCATCATTCCACCATGCATCTCTTCTTTTACTACTACCTCTTTTTGTCATTCCACATACTTCTTCCGCTGCACTTACCATTCCATCCCTAAGGTTCTTCCATGTTCTCTCCACACATTCTTTACTACCATCGATGGTGTCAAGCTTTTCGGCTACCCTCGTGTGATATTTTTCCCTAGTATTCGCTTCCTGAAGCTTCCAGCTTCGGATGCGACAGACCGACTGTGGTTCTGTTACTGCCGTCCGGTAGCGCCAACCCGCGAACAAACCCCTAAATCTAGTAATTACTAGATAGTGATCCGGTCCCAGTTCAGCACCCCTGAACACTCGTGTATCCATCACCTGTTTTCGCAGTCGGTCATCCACCAGGAACAAATCAATCATACTTCTCTCATTCTTTCTTTCTCTAGTGTACATATGGATTTTCCTGTGATTAAACATAGTGTTTGTCACAAGAAGACCCTTTTCCTTGCATACAGCCAGTATAAGCTTGCTAGCATCATTAACCCTTTTATCGCCAAACTTTCCAAGCACCGACTCGTATCCTGGTCGAGCGATACCTACCCATCCATTCAAATCACCACATACAACAGTTCTTTCGTTTCCCTTAACCAAATCTAGAACTTCTCTTACATTCTCCCAAAACTCCTCCAGCTCAGCCCTGGACGATGAAGCTACCGGCACATAAACAGCCAAAAGGAATAACTTCGTCAGTCCCAGTTTAAAGCGAACCCAGAGAAGTCTTGAGTTCACAACCTCGGGGGATGAGTCGCTCGCGTCCGTAGGCTTCGACCACCTAACCTTAGGCCCACCCTACACGTGTCCCCCCGGGTGGTGCTAAACGAGCGACAAAGCCGAAAAAGTAGACTCGGCTCCTCGCCGTAAGGTAGCGGCGTAAAATCTACCACCACCCCTTGTTCGCACCATGACTCAGAAAATAGAAGAAATGGCCCCGAGTTCCCGGCGACCCTTCAATGGGGCAGGGGTGCTAATAATCTCCGGGATAAAAACCGGCGACGAGGTTCGCCACCCGTCACGTTCTGTCTCCCGGAGGGGCGAAAAGTGGATTGCGGAATCCCGTCTGGCTACGCTGAATGTATGTGGAGGAATGAATGATAAGATGGATGAAGTATGCGAAATGATGAATGACAGAGGAATAGATGTGTTAGTGTGAATGAGACGAAACGAAAGGGAAAGGATGCCACTGCACATGACACGTATACCGCGTATTGGTCTGGTGTAGACGAGACCGAACGGGTAAGCCAGGGAGTCGGTTTCGTCCTTTCAGAAAGAATGGGTCAATGTGTGAAAGAGTATGAATGTGTAAGCCCGAGGCTGCTATGGATA